CACAGAAAACATCACGATTAAGCATAACTAATTTATTTATTAATTTTCTTAGATAATAAGGTGATTTGCAGAGTAAACATTTCTAGTGCTCAATAAATTCTGAGAAAATTACAGTAGGCTACACATGACCCTAATAGTCTACTGAACAAATTGCATGCCCATTGGATAAGTATAGCTACCTCTAAAAAAATGAAAATTTACATATGCTTATTATAGCAAAAATAGTTTAGCATAGTGAAAAGTGTCAAGCAACAGATTTAATATTTTTCTTACTTTCCTCCTAGCACTATAATACTGTGTAAAAAATTGTATGATTATATGATATGTATTTTTACCCCAATTAATTTCACTAGAATCTAGCAATTAATTAAGATTAAATAGGAAGACCATATTACAAGTATGTTTACTGTAGGTTTAATATTTTTAATAGCTAGAGCATGTCAACACAAGACCAGCAAAATTCAAATCACAATTTTATCATTTTCCTAGCTCAAGTTATGTATTTTACAAGATATAAACTACTTTACAAGCACTTATCTTGCTCAATTTAATTCTCCTAGAAAATACCCTAAGCAGTAGATTTCATATTTTTATCAAATAGTACTTTTCATGATGATTCGAACAAAATTTGGTTCATCCCATTGAGATACTCCTAGCTCTAGATATAATTTTTGCAAGTTAGCAACAAAATCTGTGAAAAATAAATAAAGAAAATCAAATTTCCACTCGGGCTCTACAGCTAGGTGCACCCAGTCTATACACCCACGGTGGCTGACAGCGGGGCCTGCAGGTTAACCCGGCCCCACGCGCCTAGTGAGAACGAGGCAGAGGTGGCGTTTGACCGGCGAAAAGCTCACCGACGGCAAGGTCACCGGCGGTAGCGTCACCCCCAACGTGTTCCCCAACTCATTCCGCATCTATGGGTGCCCTTGGTTGGATTAGAGGCTCGTCAGAGCTAGCTCGATGACGGCCATGGCGGGCGGCGGTGCTGCACTTCAGTGGGCTCATCGTCTCCGGCGACGGCAAGACAAGACGAGCACTGCTGCGGCTTCAGGGCTACCTAGTGAAGACCTAGGGTTATGTGAGGGCGACGGTGGAGCGGCGCTGAAGCTTGACCGCGTGCATGGCTTGGCGACGACGAGAGCACGGCGGTCAGCAGCCGCATTCCGGCGCTGGTGTGCCGGTGTTGGCTCAATGACTAGCGGCGTGAGCTAGACATGACCCTAGGCTAACCCTAACGAAAGAAAAGCGTGAGTGAGATGGCTCGGTGGAGCACGGCTATGGCGAATACAAGCTCGGTGGCGCTCTGGCGAGGGCGCGGCTACAAGGAACTTGCCCTTAGGCATTTACCCTGGCTCGAATTAAGGCAATGGGTGGTAGGGAAGGTGGAGGAGGTGATGGCCAAGCATTGCACATGAGCAATCGGGCAATGGTACGGTGGTGGCAATGAGCGAGCTCAGCGGTGGTGTGGCGGCGACGGCGGTGCTGCGGTTCCACTTCGGCGAGCGTGAGAGTGAGAGAGAGGAAGAGTGTGAGGGCGCAAGTGAGTGGAAATGGGAAGCAGCTGGCTCATTCTCCCTCTTGACACGTTGATGAGCGGGCAGGCGAGTGGCGACACACGACGCGCGGCGTCTGAGCCGGTCGGCCATGACCGGCGTTCGTTCGGCCAGTTTGAAAATGCAATTAGGCCGACTGAAATGGCCCTATTCACTAACCTTTATCTCCTAATCCGTGGAAATTTTTGAAAACTTCAGTAATAAAAAGTGTACAGCTACATGAGTACTACAACTTTGCTATAATGATAGCAAAATTTTCAAGTTATAGACACCTTTAAGTTGAAACTTGTGAGCTCTATTTGACTAAGTTAGGCACTGAATTAGCTTATGACCCTTAAATAAAATTTGTTACTCATGCCAAGAACTACAACTTTTATTTAGGTCACACAACCATGCAAGCTATCTAAACTACTGTTCAACTTTAGTCAAACTAGCATCATGAAAATGGCATTTCAAAGTAAACCAACACTTAGAAGCAAAATTGGTTCATGTCATGAATACAAAAATTGTTCCATTTACCATCCTAGATGTGTCTAAGGTGTTTTCATGACCTCACAACCATTTCATACATTGGTCATACATGATTACAAGCATAATTTAGTATATGAGCAACATCACATGTGATAAAGAGAAGGTAAATGAAATGAAACTTCATATGCTCATGCTCATGAATGCTTGGATGATGCTTGTGCTCATGAAATGCAAATGCCAAATGCAATGATAAACACTAGCTTGTTACAATCTCCACGTTGGTTGATCGCGTCAGCCCTTGTGGGCCTCGACCTTGACGATTGCTGGGCCCATAGGTCTAAAAATAGAAAAGGATTTTCTTTTTAAAACTTTCTTCCTTTCTCCTTTCAGCCCAAGCACCATAGCAAGTCTAGGCCTTTTTCTTCTTTTCCTCGGCGCCTGGAATTGGCCTTGGGCCATTGGTGGCCCACTCCCGTACTCCCCCTCTCCTTTCCCTTTCCCACGCGCGTGGCCCAGCTTGGCGTCAAGCGCCCCGGCACATCTCGTGGCCTGCTCGGCAGCCCGAGAGGAGCGGCCCGCTCATGCCATCCCTCTCTCTCACTGTGTGGCGAGGCCCTCCTATCAGCCGCCTACCCCTCTCTTCCTCGTCAAGCCAGAGATCCCGCGCTTGCCTTCATCGCCGTCTTCACTCCACCGAGTGATGGAGGCCATCAAGTGGGGTGCCTTCAAGCCCTGTAGTGATGACGGCGCCCATTTCTGCTTATACTACTCTCGCTCACCTATAAGTCCCCAAGCTAAGCCCTCCCTCTCTCCCTTCTGTTCACTATTCTGAGCTTGCGCACCCCACTCACAATCTCTCTATTTTGGAGCTCGGTCGCCGTTGCGAGCGCGCTCAGAAGCTTCACCAAGTAATGACGCAGTCGTAGGTGACCACATTCCTTGATTTCATCATCTTTTGGCCTAGATTGGAGCTCACCGGTAGCTATTTCTCTCTCTAGTCTGCCTTCGCTCGTCGCCAGTCCTCTTGGAGCTCTACCGGACACTGAGAACACCTTCATCGGACCCACGGTATACCCCTCGTTGTTCCCATGCCTTCGTTTTCGTTTTTCATTCACGGAATCGCCGTATTGGCGTGCTCCATATCATACCAGCCATGGCATCACCGTGGGGCCGTTGCCTTGACGTGCTTCCTCGCCATCGCTTTGTGCCTTGTTATGCTCACGACATTCCGCTCGTCACTTCCGTGCTTTCGGTTTCGAACAAGGTGGTCGGGAACGCCATTTTGATGTTCGCCGTGGTGCTCGGCTCGCCACCGGTCATGGCAGGCTCACCGCTGCCACTATGTAGGCGACAGGGGACCTTCCCCTTTGTTTCCCGCCGTTCAATCTACATTGAACGGTTGCAATTAGAACGTACCCCTTTGGGGTTATAATAGGTCCACCATGGACCCATGGACACGGCACACCGCGCCCACATTAGCGTGCCCACCGCAGGCATGGTGAACCACACCAACCAGAGGGTGCCATGTGGTCACCCAGTCAGTCAGCGATGCAATCAACCATGAGCCACCGCATGAGTTTTGCACTTTAGTCCTTGTACTTTCAAGAAATCAACCCGCGGTTCAATCTCAGTTCAAAATGCTTTATTTTTAGTCCTATTTTCTTCTGTTTTAGCCCCTGTCTTTTTGAATAATAGCGCACACCGTCCAACCAGCGTCAGATTCAGATTTATTTCAAATTTGAGTTTGGTTTATTTAGAGAATTTCCATTGAATATTGTTTTATGCATAACTTTCATGTTTTAAATCCGATTAGAGTGATTCTCTCTCTCATGTGTTCATAGTAGTACGTAGATTAGTTTTATAAGATTTTCAGTCACTGTTTTTACTTTTTGGCATTATGTTATAATAGAAATGTTGTTATAATAGAAATGTATTTGTATGCATGTGATGATTGGAATGGATGCCTGATTGGTGATTTGGATGACGTTTAGAGGACGATCAGTACTAGTATAGTGCTCATGCTAACGCTACAGTTTCATTTCAGGAATGCCCATAAAATAACCAAACGACAATGTTTTTTATAGTTTAAATTTGACACAATTATGTATGATCATGTATATAATCTCGATAATACTTATGCATAACAAGGCATAATAAAGTCGTGTCTCATCTCAACCATCTAATTTATGATTTGCTAAATTGCCCAAGCGTTGCTACGGACATATATAAAATTCCATCACATAATGTCACATGAGAGCAAAAAATAATAAACGCAATAAAAGAAGCATGAAAATAAATAGTAACATGTTTTCGAAATGAATCAGTGGAGTCACCAATAATCTTTTTTGCTTGACAAACATAATAATTTGCATATGATACATGATGAGTAGTTAAAGTTTTCCTCTGAATAATAAGCATTTCTTGCAATCTTGAGCTTCGACAAAACAAGAGCTATTCCCTAGTTCATTTCATCTCACAAGAGTCAGGCAGTCAGCTTTTGATCTTTCTATATTGCTGTAAAAGGACGTACCCAGTGCAGAGAGCTCCCGCTCTGTGCGGGGTCTAGGGATGGGTGTCAGTGGCAAACCTTACCCTCACCTGTGCAATGCGAGGAGACCGCGACTCGAATGCGGGACCTTCTAGTCATAGGCGGTAAGACTCTACCGCTTGCACCAGGCCCGCCCTTCATCTTTCTATCTTGTTGTAATGCATGAATATTTCATTTGCCCCCAAAACATATTTTCCTGCAAACAACCAACCAAAAACTGAGTCCAGCAACATAGCACATATATATTTTGCCAAAAATGCTCAAAAGATGACAAGATAAATAAAAGGTAACAATCAGTAGGATTTTCTTTCATATCTAGTCCGTGCTACTGCAAAATTTATTGAGGTTGTATAATGCGAAGGACTGTCTTGCCAATAACGCACCTACAATGAGAAGATCATTTGGATCATGCTTGTTATCAGCCTCTAGATAGAGCTACTGGCATCATGTAGATCTTCATATTGAAATGCTGACACCTGCAACATGAGGCATAAAAAAAGTCATGTGTTTATGTTGTGCAAAGATCCTTATCAACTGACATATATAAGATTAATTCAGTAACTTTTTTTTAACTGTCACCCAGGGGGGATTGAATCCCTGCCTGAATATATATTGATTCAGTAACTCACATACAACTTTTAAGCAATGCTATCAAGAAAAAAAATAGTTCTGTAAAAATTATTAACCCAATATATTCCAAGCAAGAAAAAAAAACAGCAACAAAGAGTGTAAAATGGAATTAAGGCTAATCATGTTCAAATCTGACCCAACGTGTCACATATACTAAAAAGTCAATGTTGGTTGGAAACATCATCAAATTTTAAGTAGCAGCCCCTTTTCAGTACTCTCAAACAGGAGCTAATGTATTCTTTGGTATAAGCTTAGTAATCAGGGGAGAAGTTCATAATTATTTATTTTTGGAAGAAACGGTAATGACTACACCTATTTTTTGTTCCTGATGGATGTAGGACTAATTGTTTCGGTGACACTGGGTGACTCATCAGGCGGAGATGAGTGCTGGCATTCACTTGGGCATATGAAGGAATGCCCATAAGTTTAGACATAACGTATGCACTTGGCGTGTTGTTTCAACAAAAAATATTACCACTTATCATAAATTTACATTGTGCTTAAAACAATCCCGAGATGATGAACACTTCACAGCAGCATTTACATCAGTGGAAGCGATAGTAGAAACTATCCTTAGAACCACAATTATTCCTATCCGTCTATACTTCATGTCTAGATTACTAACCTACAACTACAAGGTAAGAAGCAGGCACAGAAAACAATAACAGATTGTAATTTGCAAGTGAAAGATGTCTTTGCGGGAAGAATGTGCTACCCATGTAAGAAATGTGGTCATACCTGCTTTCTCACCACCATTAGAAGCTCATTACCTACTGAAGAGCCACCTGAATCAGTATTGAAGCCAACAGCCAGTGCCAAACGACATAAGATACCGTAAACCTATATTGTTTTTGATCGGGTATTATTTATGGAGACACAAATTAGGAGAGAAATGAGCAATGTATCACAAACCTGAATCAGGAAGAAGATATCGTAAACTCTCCAAGTAACCCAATATTCCTGTATTGAAAAGGTCTATATGTCTGTCGAGCAAATGAAAAGCACTAAATACAAAGGAAAATATTTTTTTCTCAAATATGCAGGAGCTTACCAGTTATCCTCCTAATTGAATTATATCATAACATCATACAGACATACAAAACAAAGTTCACTGACAGACACACAAAACAGAGAAGAAAATGTGTTTTCATCACCTGCTCATGCTAGTCCTCGTTGAGGTTAAGATCTGACAACACATCAAGCACGACAACTACAGAGACTACGGGAGAGCAGTTAAAAATCAAAATACAGTCCTAGCTCAGATGTGAAAGGGAGAACTTGTGAGTGAACATTAGACTTGTGAGTGAACATTAGATTCTAGCATCCTGAAGACTTGCACAGTGTTATCTGCTTCCCGATTTTCTGAAGGGTATCCCTGATGAGAGAGTAAGGGGTTGTAAGCAGTAAATAACACATTTCATCCATATTACTCCAGTTAAGGATATAAGTAGTCAACCTCCGTAATATTTCTCCACCAGTGTATTTAGGATCATTTAAGTTTGACATATGAAAACGTATTTGTTTGATTTCAAAAGTACTAAATATTGTAACATTAATATTTCTACAAATACTATATAGGAATTAGTTTTTGAAGTTGTATTATGAAAATGCCAAGTATATCCAAAAACAAATTCTTTGGTCACTTCGAAAAGTAATACAATATAGGAATTAGAACTGAACTGCAATATAGCGTTTACCTGAGAAGATGGTGCTAATACTTGCGGATGTATGTTAGGCTCCACCTGTCCATATAACTGGGCCTCATTGGTTGTATGCATATTAGGATCTTCATGACCATAAGCCTGCAGATATCCAAGTTCTGTCATGGACGATGCCAAAAAAAACTCTCTAGAAACCAGAATTGCAACTTCACTCTTTAATTAATAATCTAACAAAGAAAATGCCAAATAAAAAATCCTTCAAACATGTGGAGCATCAACAGACATATCCACTGATAAACCAATTATATAAGAATAAATTCCTCATTACCGAAAAATCATGAACGGCCTGATGGCTCCGGTGGCCGGCCGTGGATCTGCGCCCGGCTGGGGGAGGGGGCTAACAGCCGGCCGTGCCACGCGCTCCTCGGTCGCTTCTTCTCCGGCTCACAGGTGCAGGCGACCACCTCCTTCGCCTCGGTCAAGCACCAGGAGGCACCGGTGCCGGGGCCAGGCCCAGCTCGAGCAGGAGGAAAGAAAGGATCTAATCTGAAGGCGCTAATTTGACAACCAATATACCATATCAAATCCCAGACTGCTCAGTGAGCCAAAACCAAAGGTGAAGTTGTAGAAAATTAGAGCAGGCACCCCTCACCTCCGCGACCATAAGATCCTGAACAAACGAAAGTGAAGAATACAATGAAGAAACCAGAGGAACCCAGAGTGATCTCCGTGTCGGCGGCGGTGGCCGAACCACAACCCCTGCCAAATCAGGGCGTCGGGGCAGCAGAGGCCGCGCCAGTGCGCCGCCTCACCGGGTGCGACCACCGTTAGGCCCGCCGCGCCGCCGCGCGTTACCCGCAGGGGGAGAGGGGCACCGTCACGCGCGACGGACGCCGTAGGCCGTCGTCATCTCGCTCGCGCCCTTCGCATCGGTGGGGGTTGGATCTGAGGCGGAGGAGCTCCATCCAGCCGGAGCGGGGGAGGCCGCTGGAGCCAAAGAGGAGGATGAGCGGTTGAGGGAGGACGGAGACGCCTTGGCCTTGCGGCCCCGAAGTAGGCTGGGGTTTTGCGGAGTGGAGGAACGGCTTGCGGACATTTTTTTTCTTTTTACCGGAGAAATCATGTGGAGGGCGTGTGGGGTGCGGCTGCACGAGGTGGTGAGAATTCTGGCATCTCACGTCGAATCGTATTCATTAGATTTGTTAAGATGTTTTATTAGCTCTTGATTTTAATAGAGATGAATTTTTGTGTGCATTTTTTTTTTTTTGTATAATGATTGAAAACTATTAGCGGGGATGTTTTTTTAGACCTACTATAATTTTGATTGATCCATTATAATAGAGATGAGTTTGTCAAGGAGCAGGGTGGTAAACAGTACCAGGAAGGCTACGTTGAGGAAGGCAAGTGTAACATAGGCTCCTTGTACCTATGAACTCTATAATTCATACATATGCATGTGTTTAAATTTGAATCGTCTTTAAGGACTTTACCTAGACTATTTCTTGTACCACATATTTTTTTTACCTATAGTTTGGGATGCATTTTGGATAGTTGCTGCAGCGCATAACTCAAAATAAATATTAAACATGACTAATGGTATATGCAACATGTTAAACTTGTACTTTTCGCAACTCTTTAGAGGGGCTAGAGTACGGGGTTGAGTGCTCTAGTGCCTCTCCATAAGGACTCAATCTTGAAATGGCCACCCAAGAGGTTTCGTACAACCTAGAGTGTCAAATGGCTCTGACTTTAGTCTGATAACTAGATTGTACTAACTTGTTTGTAGTTTTCCATAAGAACAAGAGGGGTGCACTAGTTGGTATGTTTCTTTTCCACCAGGATGTGTACTATGCCACGACTATGAATGCCACTCTTGGAGGGCCGCATATGGCTAGATGGCTGAAACCTTAGCAGTTATGACTTGTTAGTGTGACTAGCGAAAGGGTTAGGTAGTGAAACCCTGCCACGCTTCCTTTGGTAGAGGCGATGTGGGCTTTACAAACCCCGGCATTGAGAATCATGGCTCGATGGGTAAAGTTATTGTAATACCCTAGTGTTAAGCATTTCATTTGACACTTGTATTTCATGAGCAGAAGCATCATCCAAGCATTCAAGAGCATGAGCATATGAAGTTCATTTCATTTCACCTTACTTTTATCACGTGTGATGTTGATTATATACATGCATATGCTTGTGATCATGTGTGACCAATGCAAGAGATGGTTGTGAGGTTGCAAAAACACCTTAGACACATCTAGGATGAAAAATGGAACAATGTTTGTATTCATGACATGGGCCAATTTTTATTCTAAGTCATAGTTTACTCAAAATTTCATTTTTCATGATACTACTTTGACTAGAGTGAAACTATAGTCTAGAGTGTTTGCACGATAGTGCACCCTTAGTAAAAGTTATAGTTCTTGACATGGGTAACAAGCTTTATTTAAGGGTCATGAGCTAATTCAGTGCCTAATAGGGTGAAATAGGGCCCACGAGAAGCAATCAAATGCTGCTTTCACACTGGGAAAACTTTGCTAAGTCAAAACTGATTTCTAGTTTCAAGGTGCACCACTTTGGAGCATTGTAACCTGCAAACCATGGCCAATTAGATCATACACCCTAAAGCAAATTTGTAGATCACATATAGCTCTACAACTTTTACTAATACAGTTTTCACAAACTCACCACAGATTAGGAGGTAATTAGGTGCAAATTCGGCCCGTCAGTCGGCCTGAATCAGCCCGTCACCGTGCCGTGATGGCCGACCGTGGTCAGGCCGCGCACGCCGCATGGCGGCCATACGCCGGTGCCGGCCCGCCCGGTCGAGCCAGAAGGGGGCGCACTCGGGCGTTCACTCCCTCACGCTCTCACTCGCGGTCTCCCACTTCTTTCTCGCCGCACACAGCACCAAGGCGGAGGAAAGCAAAGTGCCACGCCGCCACCGAATCATTGTCGGCCAAGCGCGCCACCACTGCTACACCTTCACCCAATCCACTTCACACGTAGCTCGCCATGATCTACTCCACCCCCCGAGCAGCTAGCGCCACTAGACGAGCAGCGATATGGCCACATTACTGCACCGTCGTCGCTGCCATGGCCATGGTGCACCGCTGAGCACGAGCTCACCTGTGGCCAGCCCCAACCGTGCATCTCCGCTCTCTCTCTCTCATCTAGTCTTCATCGTAGGTCCTATAAGCAAGAGCCACCATCCATTTAACCGCTACCGCATCATCGGTGACAGAACACACATCCATGCCATGCGCGCCCACCATGGCCGCAAGCACAAGCTCGCCACGGCCAACCCCAACCGGTCACCCCTTAGTCCCTCTAGTGCACGTTATCGAGTCGCCTTGAGCTCTAGATCCATAGCCTATGGTGGAGGCAGGTCACCGATAGCCCCCTCGCTAGAACGACAAGCGCTGCCTAGCTCCACGCACACGGCCAGACCTCACCGCCACTCTGCCATGGCTTAGACCTAACACGAGATAGCTCTAGCGAGCCGCTGAGCCAACCAAGGGCACCAGTCGACGCGGGTTGTCGAGTAGGTCACGATGGTGAAGACGCTACCGCCGGCGAGCTCGTCGTCGGCAAGCTCCGACCGGTCAGCGCCATCCTCTGCTACTGTCTCACTGACGCGTGGGTCCGTTGACCCGAGGGACCCAGCTGTCGATCAGGGTATTGATTTTTTCTTTATTTATTTTTCTAGATTTTGTTACAAACTTGAAAAATTCATAACTCGAGCTAGGAATGTCCAAATTGAGTGAACCAAATTTTTTTAAATTCATCATGAAATGTACTATTTGATAAAAATGTAAAATCTACTATTTGGGGTATTTTTCTCGGGAAATTAAATCAAGCTAGATAAGTGCTTATAAATTAGTTTCTATCTTGTAAAATGCATAACTTGAGCTAGAGAAGTGCTTAAAATGTGATTCCAATTTTGTTGGTCTTGTGTTGACATGCTGTAGCTAGGAAAAAACTAAACCTATAGTAGGCATAATTGAAATATGGTCTTACTATTTAACCTAGACTGATTGCTAGTTTCTAGTGAAATTATTGGGATAAATATACATAAATTATGATCATGCAAATTTTAACATAGTTTTCTTGTGCTAAAAGGAAAGTATGAAAAATATGAAATCCATTGTTTGACACTTTTCACTAGGCTAAACTATTTTTCCTAAAATAAGCCTATGCAACTTGTCATTTTTGTAGAGGTGACTGTACTTATCCTAATGAAATGAAATTTATACAGTAGACTATTAGGGTCATGTGTAGGCTACTGTAATTTTCTCCGAATTTATTGAGCACTAGAAATATTTATCCTTTAAATCACCTTATTATATAAGGAAATTAATAAATGCATGTAAATAAGTTATTGGGCTTAACCATGATGTTTTCTATAGTGCTTATAATGCATATGGTCTGTTGGTATTGGTAGTTATGCTCAAAGTTAATTGGTTATAGGCTCCTAGTTAATTATTGCTCTATAATTCAACTGGATGGCTGCATGTGTAGTTTGTGTTGTGGTGACAATTTCATGATGATAATGATCTCTTCTATGAAACTTATTAATAACAAAGTTGTAGATAACTTACTCATCTGTATTGTCCTAAAATTTCATAGTTATAGGCTAAAGGGTTGAGAGATATAGCTTCTAGAAGTCTACTAGCAGAGTTGCTTATTCTCGGGACAGATCTAAAAGATTCAATTGTTTTACCTGGCTAACTATTGAATCACCTTATGGTGATATTAAAGTTATAGATAATTTTATAAGATTTTCAAAATGTCCAAGATCATATTATTTGAATGTGTAAAACTCATGTTATGGTGAAAACAATTGGCCGCTGTCTTGCAGTCCAGAAAATGCTTTAAATGGATGTTTGATTAGTTACTAGAGAAGAGATATGCACCTACTCAGTAAAATACAATTAATCTTGCTATCACCATAGTACCTTGTTGTTAAGGACATTTATGTTTTTTTTCATCATACCGTATCATTCATAGCACTACCTTTGCATTTTTGTATCTTATTTTATGCTCATGCATATGGGATCACCGGAAGGAATCACGTTATTCGAATTCGAGGCTGTGGTCCAAGAGGACCAGGAGGCACCACAGCAAGGAGATCATAAGTCCACCTCTTTTCTAAAAGGCAAGCCTCG